AAAGATCAGCAAGATCAAGATAATTACGGTCCCAATGCCAAGAGCTGCTGCAAACAATGAATGAGATCGGTTTAAAGGTTTGCAGTCGAAAAAGATTTCGACCGTTATAATCACGGTACATGTAGGTAAAATTATGATATTATCGAATCATATTACCTAGTGCATATTTCATCGCAATGTTTCTTTGTTTTTCTGCAAAAGAACATTCTTAATATCAGCAGTAACTTTTAGAAATAAATCAACAAGTATATTGCTCCAAAATGGACCAGCTTGAGTAAATAAGGGAATGAATCGATCTCAAATTTGAGGTGATAAACAAGCATCGAGTTCAAGTTCAAGCTCAAACATTAAAAAATATTCAAGCTCGAGCGCAAGCCCGACTTTAAAGTAGTTAATCGAGCTCGAGTCTGATATTATTTTTTCGAACCGAGTTTGAATAACCTGTTGATCGACTCGACTCATTTACACCTCTAAACAAAAGCTAGACATATGGTATATCCATCAATAATATGGATGCATTATTCATTATTATGAATTTGTATGAACAATACCTCCTTCCATGTATATCTGAAAAAGAAACACGTTACATGAGTGGCGAAGTTTCTAATCAATTTTAGTTTCCTAAAATAACTTCCCCTTCTCTACATAGAGAGATTCTAAAAGTGGAAAGTAATAAGAAATATACCAGTAGTAAGACAGAAATTACAATTGGTTGATGCATTAATCATATGTGAATAGACCAAAGAGGAAAGTTCTTACCAGATCTGCAACGCACCCTATGGGGTCCATTGGGGCAAAAACAACGAAATTGGAACGACGGCGAATCAAACCCACATCTCCCACCACTGCCCCGACAGATACCACAGTCCGCCGCACGCCACCTCATCACGAACCCCCTTTCCAGTACCTCTGCATAATTCGTAGCGTCAATCCTCCCTTCTTGGCCAGTCAATTCCACCGGCGTCATCACAATCCCACTACCGTTGCCACAAGTCTCCGTTGCGGTTCTCAAATTCGTATCGTTCGCTAGCATGACCAGCTCCACACTTGTCTGACATGACTGTATCCTATACCTCTCTAGACTCGCACTCGCGTTATTCAAGCAATTCGAAATGAATACAAGTTTCGTGGTCGTATCGTCGTCAATCAAAAACCGGTTAGGGTCAAGCGTTAAGTTCCTGATATCCGAGGGGCAAGATATAGTCTGATTCCACGAAATCGCGGTGGTCTGAAGTCGGAGATAACTTCTTTCATAATCAATTTCTTCCACCCTGAATTCGCTTTCTGAGATCTTAAGAACTGGGAAACCAAGCTTGCAATGGAGTTCTAATCCAGGGTAGGCACAAGTGGAATTTTGTAAACCTTTGATGAAAAATGGATAAGTAATGGTCGGCCCATTTTCACTGCAGCTATGGAGGACACAAGCTTCATAATTTGGATCCAAACATAGAGATTGCTTGAAAAAGAAGAAGAAAGTGAAGAAAAGGGGGGTTATGGAGGTGGGTTTTTTAAGCGATTTCATAATTTAGAAGAGACCTGGTTGAGATGTGTGTTTGTTTGAATTCAATGATATGTGGAATTCAATTTTCCTTACCGGAACTCAAAGAATGAAGCAAACATATGAATGAAATTGACCATTCCAATTTTTTCAAATTCCAACAAACTAAACGCCACCTAATATGTTGGTTTCAAGGGTATATACTTGCACAAACGAACGATAGTTCAAGTCTGACTGCCACAATATGGTAATTATAACTGATTTTGGATTGGGCTGCTCACGAATACTAAACTCTCAAGCCAACTATTTAGCACGTCATGCATACTTGAGTTTTTTCCCCCTTCCCATAATACTCTTGACACGGAACAATTTATAATAATCTCACTTTTTACCCCTAACAATTCATAATACAAATTTTCTTTTTGGCAAGTAGCCATTCTGAATCCCCCTTTTGATATTTGGAATTGGTCCAAATTGTGGATGTGTAATCGACTTATAACAACTTGAAAAATACTTGGTCCAAATCCAATTGAGGCTTGACAAAGATATGGCCCTTGTAGTTGTGCCTTTAAAAGTGGACCTTTCCACCCATTTGAATTTGGGATCAATTATAGGGCCCATGTTAATTAAATGACTTTTCTTTTTTATATTTCAAGTCAATAAATATTAATTGTTTATTTGATATTTTTTTTCAAAAACTCTTAATGGTGTTAGTTCTAACATCAAATGATGATATTGGTCTTTATCTAATGGTATTTACACGATCTGGTGTGAATGTTAGAGATAAACCATTATCCGACGGCTAAAAACTTCTTATTAGGTCCCTAAAGAATACAATTTATGTGCATTTTTTGGAGTATGAAGCAATTGGATACAAGCTTCTGTGTATTTATATACAAATATGATAATTTTGATCTTTTTGCTCGGATTCGGGTCCATAAGCAGTAACAATTGCCCTATGAAGACTCRCTTYCGCTACGGYTCCGATGGGTTTCCTTAACCATTCACCTCCCTTGTCRTAGGAAACGGTGAGCAGTTAATAATCAAGAATGTTAAAGGGTGCATTAGGTGTTGTCAAGATTACTAGTGTTAACACTGAGGGTATTTCAACTAGTAAAAAGGTTGAGTTTGCTCATTAATGATCGTCATTTCAAGTCTTATTATAAACCGCTTAAGGTTTATCTGACTGGCAACTTTAGGATGTCGTCTGATTAATTAATGTATGGACAAATTGATCTATACATCCACAAATAAGAAAAGACTATCAGTGTCTCGGACGAACAGGACATTACACCAATGTTGGTGTTTGAACACTTCACATTGGGAGGCTAATTTAATAAACGATCTATTTGTTGGTATAAACGAAATATAATATATACTTATAAAAATTACATAGTTTTATATGTTATTTTATTTAAAGTGAATTATGGATGTTGTCCATGTGGTATGTCAAAAATTATGGCTAACGTCCCTAAATTCGATTAATTATGGATTTGGTCTTTGTGGTTGTTATTTATTCATGGCTAGAGTTCTTCTTATATGGACTCTGTTAACCCAGTTAACTTATAGATAAAAAGACCAAAGTACCTTTATTTTATCATTTTTCCTATCAAAAATATTAGATAAAGATAAATAATTATAAATTTAATATTTATTTGTTTATATATTTATAAATAAATAAACCAAGCATCCAACCGGTGATTAGCACACGTCACCGACTTCACTCCATTAAAGACATCCCCACCGACGATCTTCTATATAAAACGAATTTTCATATTAATGTACAAAAGGACAAAAAGAAATACAAATAGACAATTTTGCCCTTGAGTTAAAGGGACTAGTGGATGGCCGTTTGGCTCACGGACTATAACCATAAAAAATGACAACCAAATCCATAATAAATCGACTTTAGGGACGTTATCCATAACTTTTGGCGTACCATAGGAACCAAATCCATAATTCACTTTTACTATTTATTTAAAAACAAAATATATAATAGTAAGCTACGATTTTTGTCCCTGTTGTTTGGTGTTTATAACAATATTCTTTCTTGTGGTTCAAAAACTACTTTTTCCGTCTTTATGGTTTGCATTTCCTTGACCTTTTTGTCCCTCAAACTAACTCTGTTATAAAAATCCGTTAAATGAGGAACATCTTGATTAATGATTATTGTTACCATATTTTCATACCACAGGGACCAAATATGTAATTCACATTAACTAACGATTTTCTTTATTTTTTTTAATCTATAATACTAATAAATAAGTAATTTTGGGGACACGTGTCATGTTTCTGTGCGACGGTTATTGATTTTTCCCGCCTAAACATGCATCTAGACACAATTTTCACTTACGACCCCTAGACTTACAACATAACTCTTGAAAAATTCACATCTGAATTTAACTATGCAGTGGTCATCAAAACCGGGTTTCAAATTTCAAATTCGGATTTTTGAAGCATTTTTCACAAAATAATATTATCTGGGAAAAAATTTAGAAGAACATGTACTTTTAGTACTTAATTAATTAATAATAATGTGAATTTAATT